TAAAACTAATAACCCAAGTACATGCATCCTAGTCACTCAGTTGTGTCCAGCTCTTTTTAACTCTATGGACTGTAGCCCCCTCAGGTCCCTCTGTCCATGGGGATTATCCCAGCAAGAATGCTGGAGTGGGTTGCCATTTCCTCCTCTAGGGGATATTCGTGACCCAGGGATCAAACCCACATCTCCTGTGGTTCCTGCATTGGCAGCCAACTTCTTTACCCACTGAGCCACTTGGTAAGCTCAATGTCCCCATATCTACACACAAAAAGCATATAGCAGTGGTACTTAAAGTAAAAATGCACATTCCTGAGGTCACCCCCTAGATAGTGTGTTTAAGTAGGTCTGGATTTGGGGCCAGGTGATTCTGATGCTAGTGATCCACAGTTTTCACTTTTGAGAAACACTAGTATAGTGGCATGGTGATAAAGTGGGCTTAAGATGTTAACAAGGGGAAGGAAACACAACTTATAGGTATCTTTAAGACTTGGTTAAACAGGATTGATAATTGAACTAAGGGCTTCCCAGATGGCTCAGTGGTTAAAAAAAAAAAAAAATCTGCCTGCCAAGCAGGAGACCTGGGTTCGATCCCTGGGTCATATTCAGTATGACTGAGCATGCACACACAATTGAACTAAAGAAATCAAGAGTTATGTCCCCATTCCAAATAAGCTGACTGATAGAAAAGGAAGCACAATGACTTGTATGCCTAAAAATAAAACACACCTACTAAAAAAATCTGTGCATCTTCATGTACCCAGTGATGAGCACTCAGCTGGGAATTAAAGGAAAGAGAACTAGAAGTGGTACTGTCATGGTAGAGCATGTGTCTTCACAGCTTTAGCTGTGTCACTAGGTTCTTATTAGTAATAATAAAATGCCTACATTTGAATGCTTCATTATGCTTTCTGTTGAGGTGAAATTATCATAATATCAAATTAAACATTTTAGAGTGAACAATTCAGTGGCATTTAGTTCATTCACAATGTGGTACAACCACCACCTCTATCTAGTTCTAAAACATTTTTATCATTCAACAGTAAAATCCTGTACCCATGAAGCAGTTACTCCCCAACCCTGTTTGTTTTAGGTATATACCTAGGAGTAGAACTGCTGGGTCATACGACAATTCTTGGGGCTTCCCTGGTAAAGAATCTGCCTGCAATGCAGGAGACCCGGGTTTGATCACTGGGTTGGGAAGATCCTCTGGAAAAGGGAATGGCTACCTACTCCAGTATTCTTGCCTGGAGAATCCCCATGGACAGAAGAGGCTGGCGAGCTACAGTCCATGGGGTCACAAAGAGTCAGACACAACTGAACAACTAACTTTATTATTTTTTAATGATAATTCTATGTTTAGATTTTTGAGGAACTGCCAAACTATTTCCTGCAATGACTGAACCATTTTATATCCCCACCAGAAAAAGACGAGAGCCCCAGTTTCCCCATATCCTCTTCCACATTTTTACTTATTTCTTCTTTTTTTAAAATTTTTATCATAGCTATCCTACTGGATACAAAGTGGTATCTCATTGTGGCTTTGATTTGCATTTCCCTAATGACTAATGATGTGGAGCATCTTTTCATTTGCTTGTTGGTCATTTGTGTATCTTTTTTTGAAAAATGTCTATTTAAATTCTTTGCCCATTTTAAAATTTGGGTGACTGTGTTTTTGAATTTTAAGCATTAAAAAAAATATTCTGTATACCAACTCTTGTTAGATATGTGAATCAAAAATATCTCCCCAATCTGTAGGCCATATTTTTCTAAAAAAATTAATTAATTTGATTAAAAGTTCATACTAACATAAACTTCACTTCCTTGTGTTCTGATGTGCTTTCTTGAATGGAAAACAGGGCCACCTGTACATATACAAATCTATGGTATAATATTGCCTTATTCCTGATGTTAATAAGTTTGTGGGAACAAGTTGCTGATGGGAACATATTTTTCAGGTGTACTATGGCAAAAAAAAAAAAGATTTAAAACTGCTTTTCTAGACCAAAGGTTCAGATTCAAGAATAGGATGATGTATACTGATTCCTGTGTACCAAAATCTGGTTCCGAGGTATGAAACAACAGCAGGACGGAGACCACCTAACATGACATTTCACAAGGAAGAATCAGCGATCTTTATTCTGTCTCTGCACGCTTAATGTCAGTGGGCCACCTTTAAGATGAAGCGCTGTTCCTCAACCCTTGAATCTTGAGACAGTGAAGAAAATCAATCAAATTCTCTGATTCTTATTCCTAATGTTGGCTCATTCGCCAGTCTCTGTAGAACAGAGTGCATTCAAGCATTAGAGTTTGGCTTATTAAAAGGAGACATGAATCTCAAAAAGCCTCAAATACCAGATTTAAAAAAGACCACAACAACAAAACTAATAGTAGCAGTGGTGGCATGAGCTGTACCATGAAGCTGAAATGGTTCAGGCCCTGGGGTTGGAAGGGAAGGAAGAATGACTGCCCTTAGTTTGAGAATAAAACAAAGACCAACGGGAATGCAGACTGTTCCTGGCTCATAAAACCACAGAGGAACTCAAGTTTCCTGACACTTCTAGGCAGGGCTCTAGCAGATATTAAGCACAGAGTAAAGACCATCTTTAACATCCGACTACAGACTTTCAGGGGTCTCCGTGGTGACTCAGTAGGAATCCACCTGCCAATGCAGGAGATGTAATACATGTGGGTTCGATCCCTGGGCTGGGAAGATCCTCTGGAGGAGGGTATGGTGACCCACTTTAGTATTATTGCCTGGGAAATCCCACAGACAGAGGAGCCTGGTGGGCCACAGTCCATAGGGCCGCAAAGAGTCGGACATGACTGAAGCAACTTAGCATGCACACATGCACAGACTCTCATTTCTGGAATGTGCTTCATCTTAAAGGTGGCCCACTGACATGAAGTGTGCAGAGACAGAATAAAGATCGCTGATTCTTCCTTGTGAAATGAATCCCACTGGCTCCCCATAGCCAAACTCTAACAGACAAATCAGAGCTCTCTATCAGTATAAGTATAAACTGGAGGCTGTATGCTCAGAGGCAGTAGAAACCATGGATGAACTTGGTGGGTGATGACAAAGGTACAGAAAAGCCATTGTGTCCTCTAATTCTTCACCACATCTTCCAGTCCTAGTGGAAACAAAGATCACCAGCAGATTAAACAACCCTTGATGGATGAGATATTTATTGAGTTTCTAGTTATGTGCTGGAGACAGCGCTAGATCATCGAAGACAGAGCTCCTGCTCTGAAGGTGAGGCGGCCACACAGAGTGGAGGTTCTCCAGACGGGAGGGTGGGGCCTGGCAGGGCGAGGAGGCCCGCTGGACTTGGGGGGAAGGAGAGGTGGTCCAGCTTGGCTCTGAGTCAGAACTCTCCTGATTGCAAGTGACAGAAACCTAACCTGAATTGCAAAGAGGGAATGTATGGTCAGGACAGCAATCCCTTGGAAGGGTAGGGGACCACTTAGGCTTCAGAAGTGACTGGAGTCAGGGACTAGATAACCATCAAGACAAGGTCAGCGCACAGGCTTGTGTCTGAAAAAATTCTTCCCCCCAACTTAGTTTATATACTGCTCACTGGAGACCCAGGTTCAATCCCTGGGTCGGGAAGATCCCCTAGACAAGGGAATGGCAACCCACTCTAGTATTCTTGTCTGGAGAATTCCATGGACATGGCTGGTGGGCTACAGCCCATGGGGTTCCAAAGAGTTGACATGACTGAATGACTTTGATTTTCACCTTCGCCTTCATAATTCATGTGTCCAGTCACTTCCTCAGGAAAGCCTCCACTCCCCCTTCTCAGCAGCCTTATTGAATCACACCCAGAAAGCCGGCTAGATTTATTCAAGTCTTTGGGGGCCAATTAGAAAAAGGTGACCCTTTTGAGGGGACAATGCCAGTGTGTGAAAAATAGGGTCTCCGGCCTCTTGGCACATACAGCTTTATACCAGGCCCTGTGGCTTGGTTAGGAGACTCCAGGTGGGGTTTCAGCCCCCTTCCCTCCTTGGCAGTACAACTTCATGCCAGGTACAAACTAGCCCATCTGCTGTGGACCCCGCAGTCCTCAGCTAGTTTGGCTGGCACTTGGAGACCCCAGTCTTTCTGTTGAGCCTCTCCTCAGGGACCGTGGCCATCCTCAGTGAGGGATGACACCACTGACTAGTCAAGTGAGAGACTGAATCGGCACTGTCTGAGAGGGAAGTTGGAAAACCAAAGAAGTAAAGTGATGTGGTGCTCACACACACAAAATACAAAACCCAAACCAAAACCCTGTATTCTACTGTGTGTTCTCAGAAGACTGTTCCTTTTCTCCTTACTACTTGTCAAAATAGCAGTTTTACTTTGCTTGCATGATTACTTAAGGAATGTCTCCCCTGCAAACTTGTAAGCTCCACAAGGACAGCAGTTGGGTCTGCTTTTGCCCAACATGTGATTCCAAGGGCCCCGCAGTGTCTGGCACATGAGAAGTCCTTAATAAATAATGTTTGTTTCATGAATAAATGGATGAGCAAACAAACGAGTGTGTGTTTCTTTATTTCTCTGGGACTGGCTTTTTTTAATGAGCAGGGGGCTATGCTTGCTGGCAGCTTATAAGCCCACAGACAGAGAAGGCTGCTGCTTCTTACTTCTGAATTTTAGGGAAGGATGCTAGCCAGCCCACTTGAGATCACATGTCCACTGGGAGTGGGAGCACCCTGACAGGCAATTCCTCTCCAAGCTGTTTGGTGAATGGTGGGGTGAGCAGTTCCCCAAAAGAAGAGGAGGGCCTTGCTAGCGAAAGAGGGGAAGGCTGGACAGAATCAACTCTGATGGCCCCCACACCGCTGCTGACTTGCCCTGGGCCGGTCACTTGGTGCCTTTGTTTCCTCACCTGTGAAATGAGGGAATCAGCTGAGCTCACCTCTGAGATCATCCAGCCCAGTGTTCTATTCCCTTTTGTTCTGTTTCTGTTTCCTCTTGCCAAATTCTGTTCCAGTGCTACAGGTGTTAAGTGGAAAAAGACATGACTGTGGGCAGCCTCAGTCAAGGAAGACTTAATGGAGGTGAGCTTTACACTTAGGGGGCAGGCAGGGGAAGGAGGGATGGCATCTCAGGGCGAGGGGCTGGCTAGGGCAGTATGTTAGGGATTGGTATTGAGTCATTTGTTTGCCAGAAGTTTTTTTTTTTTTAAAGAGTAAATATCTTTGTAAGGGATACCATGTTAACTCACCCATATTTTCTCCTGAATTAGCTTATCCAAGAACAGCAAGCCACTCATCCACAAGGATCTGAGGGAATGAGACATTGGACAGATAAGTTTTGATAATCAAAATAGATCCTGAGTATAAGCATCTTTTGCATGTATGAATTAGGCTGATCATCGTGGGGTTGATGTATATAGCTGACCCTCGAATAGCATGGTTTGAACTGCATGGGTCCATTTTTATGTGGTTTTCAATAAATATACAAAAATATACTTGTAGAACACTGTGTTCAAGATTTGTATTGAAGTGATCAGCCTTTCTTTATGTAGCTAGGCATAAGGTGAGTGATAATATAAAATTAATAAAGTGTTAGTTGTCTTGCTGTTTTATAACTTTGCTTTCAAAGAATTACATTACTGTAAAGTATGCTTCTCTCTCTCATAATTGAAGACACTGCATATCAGCCTATCATCACAGGTAAATGGTTTTTAAAAAATATGTTGCAATGTTTCCAACACTGTATTATGAATATGACACTATATGCCATAGAAATTTTATAATGATTCATTCACATGAGAAGCATGTGAAGCAATGCTTCTGAGAAGGCTACTGAGAAGCAATCAAATGAATTACAGAAGCTACATGGACATGAACTTGGGCAAACTCCAGTAGACAGTGAGGGACATGGATGCCTGGTGTGTTGCAGTCCATGGGGTCACAAAGAGTCAGACACGACTTAGCGACTGAACAACAATGGCAACAAGCTACATTAAAGCAATCATACTGTTGCTTCTTCATTACCAATATATGAACTTATTTTTCACATTATCTCTTCCTTTTTCGATGACTAGTGTTAGTAATACATAATATTTATAGTGCTCTGTATCATATTAGACAATATTGATGTTGATACCAACAGATGACTCATAAAGCTTAAGGTTACAGTATTGATACAGTATTGTAAATATATTTTCTCATCCTTATGATTTCCTTAATAACATTTCTTGAGCTTACTTTATTGTAAGAATACAGTATGTTACATATAATGTACAGATATGTTAGTCAACAGTTTATCAGTAAGGTTTCCAGTCAATAGTAGGCTATTAGGCTATTAGGAAATAAGTTTTGGGGGAGTCAAAAGTTATATGCAAACTTTTGGTGCTCCCAACCCACCCCCCTCCAATAGTTCAAGGGACAACTGTACTTTGTATGTGTGCTGGTTGGGGGTTGAGGATAGCTTTGCTCCAGGGATGAGAGTGACTAAGGGAGGCAGGGAGCAAAGAAATGTCTCCATTTCAAGATGCTAAAATGCTTGATGCTCTTATGTACACAGTTGGCCCTAAACCCTTCCCATGTCCATTAAGTACAATAACCTGCTGCTGTCTGTCTGTTTTTCTTCCAACTTTTCAAGCAACTCCTTGAGGATGTTGTTTAAGCTAAGCTCAGTCTTTGTCAATCTTGTCCCTATTGGGGAACAGTGAGGTATGCCTTAACTCCGTAAGGATGGGTCTTGTTCTGAAAGTGGGTTTAGTCTGTCCAGGAGCGCCATCTACCAGTCACCACAATACAAGCTCCTGGCACCTGGGAGGGAGACTGGAAGAGGGAGAGAAGGCTTCCAAGGGGATGTGGCAAGAGGGGAATGAGTGGCACAGTCTGGAGCTGGGTTCGGTGGCAATCCTATAATAGCACCGCTACTCTGGACCCTCTCACACACCCCAACACACCATCCTATTGCTGCACCCAAGGCTCTGTTTAACAAGAGAATAAAATTCCATACCCTAGAACTGGGGAAACTGTGTCCCATGTTACCACTAATGATGAATGGTGAGAATACAGGACATTGCCGGGACCCCTAGCACTATACAAGGTGTGACTGCTTACAGCTTCCACATTAGAGGTCCTGAAGTGTGTGCTGGCGGAGAGGGAATTGGGTGGGTAAGCAACCGCTTGTAAAATGCTTTACAAAGATGCAACATAGCATAGTGACCAAAAGTATAGATCCGAAGCCAGTCTGTGTCGGTGTAATTCCCTTGGTTCTGTCACTCACTAGCTGTATGACTCTGGGCAAGTTAGTTTACCTACTTATGCCTTGGTCTCTTCACCTGTAAAATGAGTTGAACAGACGTTTCTGCCTAGTGAGATTGTTGGGCTTTCCAGGTGGCACTAGTGATAAAGAATCTGGCTGTCAATATAAGAGCTGTAGGAGCCATGTGTTCAATTCCTGGGTTGGGAAGATCCCCTGGAGAAGGGCATGGCAACCCACTCCAGTATTCGTGACTGGAAAATCCCATGGACAGAGGAGCCTGGTTAACTACAGTCCATGGGGATGCAAAGAGTCGGACATGACTGAGCAAACACGAGCAAGCGAGCAAATGGGATTGTTGGGAAGGTTAAACGAATCCACACGAGCACTAGAATAGTACCTGGTGCCAAGTGAGTGGTATTGCAAAACTTAAGTGTTTGCCAAAATTTATATCCTTCAATCTACCGTCTGAAACTTGAAATGTTTCCCAAAGTTGAAGTTATAGGATTTGAATAGAGGCTTAGAACAGGCTGAAGTTGTGGTGATAGAGCTTAGCAGCCAGAAAAAGTGATCATGAGGATGGAAGAATGGAGAATAAAATGGAAGCGGTTATAGAGATGCAAGGCAGGACTTACAGGATAAACCCACCAGATTGTGAGATGGGGGGTGGAGGAGGAGGGGGCTGCTGGGAGGCCTAGAGCCCAGATGGAGCTGATGAGGACCTGGGGTTGGGGATGTGGGGAAGAAACAATTAAAGGACACAGAAGGCATGAGGCGACAGTGGGCAGGGTAGGGCTCACAGGCTGAATGTGGGTGATGCAGAAAGAGCAGTTTTGACTGCAACCCAGTTTGGAACTGGAGGTAAGCAAAATTTGTAGAGATGAAATTTATTTTTGGCACCTCCTCTCCAGAGAGCCCCTCTGTGAGACACTCTCTGTGTCTGCTACATGCACATCGCCCTGAAAATGCTGCCCCTCCCCACCTGAAATTGCTCACCTCATCCTCCACTCCCCTTATCTGAATGCAGGCTCAGAAGTCAGCCTGCCTGAAGGAAAGCTAACAGAGAGGAACTCATCTCTCAATAACTAAATTACTGCTAGCCACGGACTGTCCCTAAGGTACATGGATTTTAAAAAGGAAAAACTTGTAAACTAAAATGAATTTCTCATCTAGGAATCCTTAATTTAGGGGGTGATGGGGTGGACATAGGTAGGTTTCAGGCCTTTGACAGAGAGTCATCATTCTCAGTGATTCTTAAAGGGAGTCTGTGATTCTCAAAATGTTAAGGGCATTTGCTTTAACCTATTTTGGTTAAGGCAGTGGAACAAACTAAAATGGAAGCATTCAGATTAGTTGGAAGAACATAGTTTTCAATTCCGTTGGTGGTTTGTCTGTGTGTCAAAATTCTTTCCTGTTTCATTTTTGGAACCATAGTTGTATTTTTTTTTTTCCCTTAAATGCTTGGATTCATGCTTTCTTCCTACCGACCTGGCTCCCGTGGTAGCTCCGACTGGGGTTCAGGTGTGACTGTCGGGAGGTGTGGGGTGTCTGAGGCGGTGTACCCAGGTTGTAGGGGCTGGAATCTGCTCAGTCACAGGTTTTTTTGACATCCTACATAGTCTTTTCTTTGTAAAACAGCAAATTCATACTTCCATAACGCAGAACCAAGGAAGTGGGCATGTCTTTTCCACAGCGTGCCGCCTCCTCTTCCCTCCCCATTTCCTGCTGCCGTCTGCAGCTCCGTCCACCCTCCCGGCATGCTTCACTGTGCCGTAATGAGATGCTCGGCTGCAGCAGCCACGACGTCTCGAGATGGATGGGGCCTCTGTACTGCCCTGAGAGGGATGTTAAAAAGACATTGTATTCATGGAAGCGGGCTAGAAAAGGCAAGGAGAAATGAAGAGCCTCATTTCAACAACACACAGCAGCCGTTGTCCAAGTAAAATGGTTTTTCCTTCTGTCTTATCCCCTGCTTACTGGAGTAACTAAAGCAATGCTATATTTCTGAAAGTCACTCTAAAGGTCATCCATTGTTTAGATTCTATTGGAAAATTATACCTTCTGAGATTGAATTTAATGCGCCCTCATTAGGACTTGATTAGCTCAATGCGATTAAGGTGAAAACACCCAATTCAGAGAAGAACTTGTGGTAATGAATGAATACATTTTTATTCAAATATTCTGTTAAATCCCCAGACAGGTATGATTTCCATAAAACAAAAGGCTCTGGATAAAAAAGAAAGGAGTCGTTTTAAGCATCTTACAGTTGGGCTGGAGAAAAGATTAGTTTACGAAAAAGGCTTATTAATGCTACCCTAATTGTCACATGTCAAGAAATCTTGCAGGTTAGAAATAGTTTTTAAAAATAAATGAAATTTTCTCCACATTGAGGACAGGCAAAAAATTTAGTGCTAAATGAAACTAAAAACTGAAACACTGATGTCAAATCTCAGTGTAATTGAAAAATTCTTAGCTTTTCTGAGAGAAGCCTAAGATGGCTGCTTCATAAAGAAACCAGGCTCTTCTAGAATTCAAAAATACAGACTCATTTTTACTTGAAATAGTCCCAAGCATAAAAATTAGCCAACTGCATCTCATAAGACTGCATCAGGTTCACAGGGAAATACGTGATCCCATCACATAATTGGCGCTTAAGCATTCATCCATTCGTGTTTCCCTCTGACTTTTATAAAATGCTTTTATTTATTAGTCCTTGCTTCTCCCTTGAAGGTATTAGTCCCATTTTTACAGTTGAAGGAACTGAGGCCCAGACAAGTCTGATGCCTGTTCAAGAGTCTAAGTGGTTCAGTTCAGTTCAGTTCAGTTGCTCAGTCGG